TTGTTATCGGGCTAATTGGTCAAATTTGAATAGAAATAAAAAAGACACTAATTTATTATTTATATTTAAAAATCGTTTATACTTTTTTAAAAATAATTCTTCCAATATTTCATCTTCAGGGAAAAACTAAACAAAATATACCTTTTTAAACCTTTTTAGCTATAATTTGTAAGTACTCTTATAGGTTAGCAAAACATAAAAAATAATTTATTAATTAAAAGTTCAAAAATGAAGGAATGGAAGCATTATTAAAGGACAACTCAGCTGAAACATTTACATGACATGAGAATGATTCAAAAAGAAGGAAAATAGATACCACATAAACTGACTGAAGTGAATGATTTTCAATAAACCATTTTTAATAATGGTTTACAATTCTTTGCTTGCCAGACACCGAAGATGCCATTTTTTGCATCAAATTTTAACTGGCGATGAATAATAAATTAACTACGATAACCCTTAACCCTAAATTCTTCGTTTATCTAGGAGACCCAGTCATATCAACTGGGCAAAAGTAAACATTCATGAAAGTAAACATCAGAAAGATATGGTGTACTATATGGTGTTAAAACCGATTAAAACTTACTGCTAAACGTTATCAACAACAATTGATTGATTTGGACCATGAACCAAACAACGTAAAGTTATTTTACTTCACAACAATCCTCGACTACATGTAGCAAATAAATGGACAAAATTTTACCTCATGCGCCCTATTCACCAGATTGTAATCCATCAGATTAATGTGTATTTCAATCAATTCAAGGCGTTGTTCAAAACCAGCATTTCAAAAATCATAAAGAAATCAATGAATGTCGCGATGAATGGAAACAACATTTCCAAAGAATCCATAAATTGCCAGAAAAATTGTCGAAAGCCATAGCTTACAATGGAAAATATTTTGATTAAATAATGCAACAAAAAAACTAGATTATTGATTATAAAAAGCAGATTATTACTTTGAATAGCAGAAAATTGTATAACTGGGTACTACCTGTGTTTTCATTTTCACTTCTTGAGTGGTCACCCCGAATATATTCCTGTTCCATATAACTTGTTTTCAAATCAAAATGCAAACCGTTATTATATAGCAAATGGTTTCGGTTTTCAGGTTTAAACTGTCCATTGGAAATTGTAATGTTATCAATTCTTTTTTCGGTTTGTACAGTTTTTGACATGGATTTTTCCAACTCAAATTCTTCATCATATTTGTTGTAAAAATTTGTGTTAAATATATAGGTAATATTTGCTCGTTGCATATTCTTAGAAAAATAATAAATCAAATCATTTTTGTTAACACCACTTATTGATTGGATTTTACTTACAGACATATTATTACTTTTAAATAAATACATATTATCGATTTCTCCTGGAACTACTTTTATGGATTCACCAGTTGTTCCAAGCAAGTCAGTAGCAGGCGAATACCCAAAAATTTGATTCGGTAAGCAATTGAAAGAGGATACCCATTTAAAGGTGTTACTTTCTAGTGTTTTATTTCGTGAGATATCAATGTGATTAAATGCTAAGCAGTTTTTGCTCCTTTTGTCTTTTCCCAAAATGCATGTTGTTTTGTCTTTCCTAAACGTTTTCTTTTTTAAAAGCATAACCTCCTCATCGGACGATTCATTGCTGGATGTGAATGAATCGTAACTACTTAAATTATCACAAAGATTATGATAACTGTCATTTTTCAATTCTTTGCTTAAATCCATAACACAGAAATCTAAATCTCAACAATTTAAAAAATATACTTTTTTAGATACTTATTGCTGAATGGCTATTTGATGTAAATAACATAATGTGTTGAATTATACTGTAAAAAGTAGATGAAAATTAAACCAAAATACCTTAACTTTGGATAAAATATAATCGATAACAATCGATAAAATTCGCAAATTACATTTAAGTACCGAATACATTTCTTTCTGATATGCACAAGAAAAAATGTACAGAAACTGTTGGAACATAACTTATGTTCTAAACATCCAGAACTCAAAAAATTAATAAATAAACGAATTTTATATATATTATCGTATAATTCGATTTGAGAACAGTTGAACCATGCTAACTATCTACACTATCTACAAAGGGTCGGTG